TCAGGTACACAATTCCACATGAGGTGGTTTCTTCACGAAGGCAAAACCACTTGTCTCATTTTTAATAAATAAGCAGTTTGCTGCTTATCCATCGGTGACCATCATCTTAGAGGCCCCAGTCGGGATACCTAACGGGATCTATGTGATCCAGTCTCCCGGTTAATGTTCTCACACTCTCATGCAAGGTCTTTGTTTGACCACCCTTGACCTTTTTTCAATCTTAACCTGAATCGGTAAACATCACTCGCCGTGGGAACCTATTTGGTGACATGCGTAAAACATGCCCCAAACAGCGTAATATATGGAGGTTGATCACTTGCTCCAGTGGACGACTGCCACTGCCTAAACCTCCACGCCTAACCTCAGAATTTCTCGTCCGGTTACCCCACCAGACTCATGCAATGCGACGTAGATAGCGGTGTTCGAACAGCAACAATTTACATTTACTATGTTCCCGTAGTGAACAAGTCTATGCAATGTAGAGCAGCATTAGTCTAACCGCATCAGCATAAACTGGACGTCGCGAAGATGCCAAATAGAGTCTGATGCCTCTGTGATGAATTCACATAAATCCAATCTCTTTAATTATCTATCCCCGAGCACACCAAATGGCTCGCGCTGCAGTTTGACGTTTTGCTCATCTGTGTTCTATTGCTGATGGAAATCTAGTTCAATTTACCTCCCTCAGTTGGATGAAAACTGGCTTAAATAGCTATTTTTGTTACTGTAGATCCTATTTTTCTTTGTTTATCTGCGATAGTTTCTCTCTGAGGGAAGAAGTCTCCACCTTAGAGTCTGTAATACTTGTGATCTTTTATTACATTAAGCCTATGGATAAGAGAAAAAAACTGATAGCTAACTTGCGCGTCAGTCATACACCATCCATATATCCAAAAAGATAATTTTTTCAAGGAGTTGGGGTATTTTGCTGATGGGCTAGCACCTAAGATCAGTCTTCAGCCTTCAGGATTGAGGGCAGAGTGCCCGTGTAAGCCCCATTATCACTGGATAGAAGGTCCGATCACAAGTGTTCGTCCCTCCATAGCCCCTTAAGGTGCTCATCCAGACGCCGTTTGAAAAATGTAAGAAACTGCCTTCTATTCAGGCATCATTTCTTTGCATCAGGGAAATACTTCCAAGTGGAGACGTCTCCGCTTGAAATCAATTACCCAAAGATACAATAATGTATTAATTAATCAGAGGCGCCTAACGGATGACACAGCGGTGGGTGCCGGTTTAATGTATAGCGCCAAAAGAACTCTTGGAAGCTCCATCGCCTGTGGCCATTTCCAGTCCGGTGAAATATGAACTGAACTAAAGACCTCAAGCGCTAAGTGGTCTCAGCGTAGAGCTCTCTTTTGGAAAATATGCAATGTTGAAGATGGAATCTTAATTAATAGATATATATATTCACGAATGACACCTGTGATACTTCACTTATTTACAAATCGTAATTACATTTGAAATGGATTTACTGGTGATCCACATCCCCCGTTAACAAATAGCATTTTTCCTCCAACTTGGGCACATTTCCAGGGACAG